TGTAGTTTTAAGACCATTTTCAAATTTTAGGAATTTTTTGGATTATTTTAATTATTTAATTAAGAGGTCAAAAGTTCACTTTTTGATAAAAATATTTTCTAGAAAATTAATATTTTATTAAAATACTAGACCTTTATACAATCAGTTAGACTATAAGTATGCTGAAATTGGATTTTTCTACATTTTATTACGGAGATTTGAAGTTTTGAACTGACTTTTGACCTAGGTTTGACCAAAAAGTTAACTTTTTGACTTTGACTATTTTTTAAAGGTTTGAAAATTTTAATAAATACTAGACTTAATTTTTAGTTGAATGCAATTGAGTTTGATCAATTTGGAGTTTTCTTGACTTAGTTATGATTTTTCAAAGTTTGATGTATTTATTGAATTTTTAAAATTGTTTAATTAGAAGGGTTTTCTTGATTTTGCTCCAAATGAATTTCAAACTCCTTGAAATCAACTCTAAAAGTCAGAGATAACCTAAGAAGAGATTCTCAAGTGTTTGGGAATTTTTAATTATTATTAATTATTTATTTTAATTAAATATTGGTTTTTAATTAAAATTAAACTAAGGTTTGATTTGTTGTCTGATCAAGGTGGTTTTAATTTTCATTGATTAAGGACATGATTCTAGTCCATTAGAGGTCTTGTTTGCATTTTTTGGATTTAAATTTGATTTATTATAATTTTTGGAATTTTTAAAGCCTACTTAAAGGGTTAACTTTGACTTGTTTAATTATCTGACCTAATGAACTCCAAATTGGATGAAATTTGAACCTAAAGTGTAAAATGTCACTAGGTTTACTTTGTTCAAGTTTCACCCCTATTGAGTGTGTGTACAATGCCCTAGGAATTTTTCTAAGTTTTCTAGACATTTTCTTAAATATTTTTCCTAAGTGTCTCTACAATTCAAATTGGCTTAAACTTTGGTGTGTCTAACCCTGGCATACATGCATCCACACCACAGAAATTTGACAGCAAAATACTCATAATTTAGGGAGTTATGAATTTTCAAACTTTAGGGTCCAAAATGGACCCTTCAACTTAAAAATTCACATAACAGAAATCCATTGGGTATCTGACCCTAAACAAATTAGTGAACATGCCTAAGATACACAATAATTTCTCGCCAAAATTTTGACTTCATTTGAGCACTGTATTGTGAGAAAATTGCAAAAAAACATAATTTAAACAAATTCAAATAACTCACAATACAGAGGTCAAATCAACTTAATTTTAATTTGAAGAAATACTACATTAAATTCCCTTTCCAACGAGCCCAAGAACGTCCAATTTGGTGAAAAATTCGATTTTCTATCAATTTTGGAAGATTTGGACATTTTTTGAATTTATTTTGACAATTCTTGGTCAAACTGACCGCCAGAATGGCGGCGACCAATGGGAACGCACCACGTGGCAAGGCGGGACCCTCTACTTAAATGAGTCAGCTAACCCAGCCGTGGGACGGGGTCATCTCTGGGCCGTCCGATCACGCTGAAGGCGCGATCGGACGACTCTGGTTAAAGCAGAGCTAGAAAACTTCAAATGCCCATAACTTTCAAAATACTCAACGAAAGTGTATGAAATTTGAACTGTAGCTAGAGGGTAATATAATCTAACAATGCCTAAAGTTTGGAGGCTCCATTCATTGTATATTTGCTACAGTTTCAATTTGAAATCAATCCAACCGTCGGATTTTTGTGTTCTTGGGCTCTTTGGAAAGCTGCAGTGATCCTCTACAACGCTTATGAAGACACCAAGAGCTGGATCTTATTGGATCAAAAGTTATATTTAAAACGCCTCTTTCTCTCTCTAGGTTTCTCTCTCTTCGCCAATGAGGCTTTCGAGACTTGGATTCGGTGGGGGAAGGCTTGGAAATGCTAGGGGAAGGCCTGGAGGAGGTAAAAAGAGGGTTTTTGAGGGCTGGATTAGCTCTGGATCAGAGGGATTGAGTGAGAGAATGATAAGGATAGAATCATGGCTCAAAATGAGGGTTTTCACCCTATTCAAATGTCCTTTGATCAAAATGGCTGGCTGGAATTCACTGAGGGGCTCTTGGATGATTTCCACTTATCCCTAGAGTGGTTGGAGAGTTGAGGGAAAGGATAATGCAAGGACATGAGGTGTAAAAGGGAATTTGTCCTTGCTTAAGCACTTTGGAACCACTTGGGATGGTTTAGCCTTAATCTAAGGATTAGATGAGGCTTAGGAATCTTCCAGAAGTTATTTAGAATTGCTGGAGTGGCTTGATAATGAGTGAATTAGTTTGGAGTAGGAGATTTGACCATTTGACCACCCTTTTAACCATTTGTTTGATAATTTGAATATGTTGACTGGTCAACAGTCAAATTGACTGCTGAGGTGGAAGAGGGTGGAGCTTGAGTGCTGGTTAAATAGGTTGGAGGGGTTTATATGCTTAAAGGCTTGAGTTTGAGTGCATTTAAAGGAACTTGAATAAGTTTGACCAAGTCAAAATAGAATGACTTGGTTAAAATGAACATGATATGATTTGTTATGGGTTGGTAGATGTTCAAAGCTCTGAATGGAATATAATTGAGAATATTTAAATGAATGGGTTTGAAAATCAAGTGGAAAAGCATATGTAGTGTGAAGGTTTAACTATGTTTTAGAGTTTGACTAAGTCAAATCCATGACGACTTGACTCCAAATGATTTGTGTATGTTTAAATCAATCATTGAAGTGAGCTTGAGAATTTAAAGGGCTTGATTTGGTTAAATGGGTTGGAATAACCCATTTGGACCCTTAAGGGCTCATTGGGTCAACCAGGTTGACCTAGATTGTGAGTCCAAGCTCAACAAATTTGATTTGATAATTGAAAATTGTTAGAAGTGATTCCAAGCAATTCGGATGTCATTTGGTTTGAAATTGATTTTTGAACCCTTAAGGGGTATTTTGGTCATTTTTGCCCCTGATCAACTGGGGGTCAAAGTGGGTCCATCAAAATATAGTTTAATATTTAATGAGTCATAATTAAAGGTCTGGAAGTGATTGGAGGCTTTGGAGAAAGCTCCATGGTTAGGATCCACTAGATGGCAGGTCCAGTGGCATAGGCTGTAAATATTTGAAAGTTTTACAGCCTTGAAATTTTGATTTATTTTCTGTGGTTAGGACCTCAAAATGAGCTCAAATTTGGAGGGTAGCCTCCAGAGACATGTCTTATCACTTTGAAAATGATAGACTCTGAATCAGAGGTCTTTTGATTGGGTTTTGAAGTGTTTGAAAGTTCACTGGAAAAGTCTTTTAGGACATAGCCTTATACCCTTGAACTTTGATTTAAAACTCTGGATTTGATTTGGGTTTTGAGTCTGGTTGATATGATTTGAATTGTCCAAATCATTTATGATCATTTGGGATGATCATTAGTGATTGGATAGAGTTGAAGTTGGATTAAGATTTGAACTAGAGTTTAAATTTTGAACTGGACTAAAGTCTGGATTTTGATTGAGGCTCGAATTGAATTGAGATCTGGATTGACTTGAGGTCAGGTTTGATTTGAAGTCTAGATTGATCCTAGAATCTAAAGGAATTCTAGGGTCTAGGACTTAGAGGAGTCATAAGTTCTAGATAGGTCCTATGATCTAGGCTCCTGAAGAATCCTAAGACCTAAATAGATCTTAAGGTCTGGATCTAGGAGAATTCTAGAATTTAAATTGACTTGGAAGAATCCTAGAGTCTAGGATAAATCTTAAAGTCTGAAATCTAAAAGAGTCCTAAGATTTGGAATAAATCCTAAGATGTAGATTTATCTGGAGGAATCCTAGGATCTATCGTAGAACCTAGGATCTAAAATTTAGAAGGATCTTAAGATTCAGGAAAATCCTAGGGTCTGGATTAATCTGGGATCAGGATTAATTTAGGGTCAAGATTGGCCCTAGTGACCTCATACAAAAATGAGGTCAACAACTATAAGCACGACATGTTTGGAAACCAGTTAGTTATCCAAATTGTGGTTCGAACCCTTCAACAGTGCTTCAAACCATTGATTTGGATCTATTTGGACTCGGATTGGGTTGGATTTGGTGTCTGTTGGGTTCGTATTCTCGAGACATTCATTTTGACTGTAAGTTTGCTGAAATCAGAGTTCAGATGGTCCCAAATTTTATTTGGAAGTTTCCAACTTGATTTTGCATCGATATTCGTGCCCGATCAAGATAATTTTTTGATGATGTATCAATTATTAAGTATTTATATTTTTTATTAATTTTAATTAAATTAGTTGAATCGAATTAATTAATTTCTAAGATACTTCTCTTCATATGTAATAGCCATCGATTCCAAGAATTTCTCTCTTATGTTTGCCTGTAGGTTATGCGCCGTTAGGGTTTGCTTTTTCATTTCTCCAACTTTTTGTACTTGTTCAACTTCGTCTTCTTTGGAGTGAGGTAGAGTTTTGATCGAGTCAATAAAAGAATTCTTCACCTTCTTTGACAAGAAAAATAATTATGTATGGAATTTAGAGGTTTTTTTTTCTCAATTTCAATTAAAATAAGTTACGTGGTTAGTACAATTTTTTACACAAATAATACATAATGTTTACCTTTACTTTTTCGATTGGACTCCACTTGTTATAATTACAATATTCTTTCCTATCGGGTAGTAAGTCACGACAGCTCGCTCGGAGTAACGGCAACGACGAGAGGGAGGGAGCTCGTTGCCAAGGTAACCATTTTCTCCCATTCACGTGCTTCTTCTGCCAAAATCTCATAAATCAGCCAAACTCTTGATTTAACACATGCAAAATTTTTCAAAAAACGTGGTAATGACGGATTTATTTCGCCTTGAGATTTATGCCGAGTCGAAATCATGTTCGATAAATCTTATTACCAAACAGCTCCTAAGTGTGTAAAACTCAGAAGTGTGATCATGAGTCAGCTTATATGATTATGACTTCAAACTAGCTTTCTAACTTATCACCTTTTAATTGAATTATTGTAGAAATCATAGTATTAGTAAAGAAACAAAAGAGGAAAAAGGTTAAGCGGATACCCACTCGTTCCAGCAAGTCCTCTCTGGCCATCTCCGTCCAACCAGTCGTCGTCAATCGGATTCCATTGACCCTATTTATTCCTTTCCTCGTTCACAACTCATCAACGGTGCATTAATACAACGTCTAACAGATCTCCAACCTGCGTTCATCGATCGATGATATGGATCGATTCAAACCATTCCTCAAATGAACACGACATCATCTCCTCCCTCTCCTAATCCACTCCACCCCCTTTCCTTCACCATTGTCTCTAAGTTCTGCGACCTCCACTTCGGTCCTTTTGTTGACTGCTGCAATTTTGATCCCGGTGGGCGCCGCGGCCTCCTGATTAGGCTCGGCCTGACCCCTTTGTAGAGGATGTCGGCGCCGCCTCCAGGCGGCAGCGGGTGTAATCCTGTGAAGAAGCCGGGCCCTGTGTCCATGGATCATCTCCTGCTTGCCCTGAGGGAGACTAAGGATGAACGCGAGGTCCGAATCCGGAGTCTCTTCAGCTTCTTCGACAATACCGGCGCAGGTTACCTCGACTACGGGCAGATCGAAGCCGGGCTCTCGGGCCTTCGTATTCCCGCTGAGTACAAGTACGCGCGGGATCTCCTTAGGGTTTGCGATGCTAACAGCGACGGTCGCGTTGATTATCAGGAGTTTAAACGCTATATGGATGCTAAGGAGCTGGAACTCTATTCTATTTTTCAGGCGATTGATATTGAGCATAATGGGTGCATCTTACCTGAGGAACTATTGTTTGCACTTGCCAAGGCAGGTAATGACATTTGATGGTTTTTTGTTATCAGATAGATTGCATGTTTTCCAATATCATCATGCTTTCTATCCACAAGCAAACAAATACGCCCTTAGTGGTTCTGGAAGAACAAAGTTTCTTGTAATGCAAGATGTTATCCTTTTAGGACCCTGCTCTATCCAGAGTTTTTTATTTTTATTTTTATATGAAGTTTCTCACATTGTGTCCTGTGGTAGCGGCATAGCTGACTAATGATCAGTACCAGTTTTGTGATTCCCGGACCTGATACTGATTTGTAGGGATAGGTGAGTATATGTAGGATGCCACTTTTTTTATTTTGAAGCTTCAGTTTTGTTCAGAATGCTCTATGCCTGAACATACGAGAAAAAAGGTCAAAAATGGTCCCAGGTCTTTTTGTATGGGCCTATTTTAGTTATAACATGTTTAATTTAATCCATTGACATTCAAATATGATTCAAAATATTCCTTTTGTTGAATTATTTTGAATTAGATTTAAGGAATCAAGAGACCAAATTAGATATATTAAATATTATGGGACTAAAATAACCTCTTATTAATAGTTCAGAGTTATTTGACCTTTTCCTCATAAAATTATATTTGTTTAACTTTTCTAATTTGCTGCTGTCATGTAGCGCCTATTGTTTCCATATTTTCACTCTCAAGTGAAGAATTTTCCTCAATTATTTATCCTTTAGTTTTATTAGTTCAAATTTCTAGCTAGTTTAAGTTTCAACTTTTTCGTTTATTTATGTTTCCACAAAAGCCTAGAAATATTTATATGTGAGATCCAGGAATGGTTATTTTTTTGAGCACTTGACATAGGAGGTGAAGTTAATGATTCGCATGCGAATATAGTCCCTAATTTCTTTTACTTGCCGACCACTCCACGCAAATCTTTAGTACTATGACTAATTTTGTAGCGATGAAAAGGGAAAAGGATGCTGGACTAAGCTAAAATTTTCTAATTCATGTTTGCTTTTGTTTAGTTTCGTGGAAGGTTAATAGTTGTATTTTGGATTAAAGAAATAATGCATGCTTTTAGACTTTTAGCTGCATATTGAATGCAAGTAGTCCAACTTAGATTGAATACTTATTCTCTCCCCCCTTTTATTCACCTCCAAGTCTGTCTAACACCCAATTTCTTTGTCTGTAACTCATCCTACTGTAGCATAATTATTTAGAAAAAGCCTTAGATTTTATCATGCTTTACCTGTTATATGAGTTAAATTCTAAATGATGATGACGATGGACATAATATTTCCTTCCTTTTTAATCGTATCATGTATGAGTTAAATGTACAAGTCCAAGTGTTAAATGCTAAATGATGATGATGATGGACATAATATTTCCTTCATTTTTAATCGTATCGTGTCTGAGTTAAATGTATGAGTCCAAGTCTATAAAAAGAGGTTATTATTGTATTTGGGGGAATTATTAGATGATGAATTGAGATTTGAAATTTCTTATGCCTCCCCATTAAGGATTCCCATTTTGTCTGATTTTTATGTGTTGTTTTATCTATACCCCTTATTTTTGCCCCCTTGATGTATTCATTTTTTTCTATCCGTCTTGCTAATTCTCCTCTTATTCTTGATTCTTCTAACTCCCATTGCACATCTTTATTATCAATTAGTATTAGTGCCTTACCCTAGTAACCCTACAACCATGATCACTTCTATGCCACATCTTGAGTTTGATTTCCTGCACATCACCTAACTTCACAACCTTGATTAGCATCCAAATTGTGTTCTATCGCCCTCTCATGTTCATTGTTTCCTCCACACATTAATCACAAACAATCCCCATTCTAATTTCATTTGCTCTAACTTCTTCAATGGCATACCCAACCCACATCCTCTTGTGCCCTATTGTTGGCTTCTTACTTGCCATATCGCCATTCATACCCATCGATATTATCCTTCTCCCATGCTCAAGTAGGTCTAAGTTATTGTTTCATCATGCTATATCCATATTTGCTTGATTGTTCGAATCTCTCATGCGCACATCTTTGCTCGACTCGTGCTCTTCCTCACTTGACCCTAGATATGCTTGCTTGCCACCGAGCTACAATCGCTAGTGTTCGCTTGCTTTCACTCTCCATCACATTCTTTGCTTAGCTCAACAACTTTGGTCCCAATGTTGTTTGCCAAGCGAAACGCTTGTATGCTCATGTTGCCCACTCAATTTGTGTTTATCTGTGTCCTCATATTTTCTTCTTTGTCGAACCCATAATGCATATCTTTCACAATCTCTCACCTATAAACTTTAATGTTGCTTTGCTTATATTCGGAACCCTCGTAATTTTGCGCGTGCCACAAAGTTTAATCACACACCTCACTTCTTCACTTTGAATTCTTGTTTGATCTAATCTAATTCAGTTCGTTTCATCCCAATCCACTTGATTAGCCGAAACTGTCCAAATGAGAAAAAAAAAAAGAGAAATCAATTTCAGTTAGATTACACTTCAACCAGCTACGAGTTAGCATAAAATGTGCATGAAGACTATCAAGCTTCTAAAGATATCTATTCAATACTATGGTGATCCCGTTGAAGATGGATGAAGAGAATCTTCTGCTAATATTATCAATGTGGTGAGTTGGTGACATTCTTCCGCTTCATTTTTCTACTTCTAGATGTATTTTCCATTCTATGACTAGTCTTTGGGATAGACTTTCCATTTGTCTCTTTTCTTTGGGATGTTATTTTCTAACTCTACAATATAATTGAAGATCTTCAGTTCTCTCTCCAATAGCATTTCAATTTTCCAGGTCAGAGTTCCTTATATTCTAGAGGAATTGATGTTGCATAATTATTTAATAAATATCTCAAATTTAATTATACTCTAAACATGTTTTTAATTTGTTGTTGTGATTTGTTTTTGGCTAGTAATTGAGTTTGACTCTATAAAAGGAGTGCTATTAGGGAATCATTAGCTTACAGTATGAGATTGGAAATTTATAAGGATTCTTTCCTTTTAGGATTACTGCTTTTTGTTTCATTCTAATCCTTATCTCCATCCTCTTAAGGTATTCTTTTGTTTAATTTCTTTACCCAATTCTTTTGTCTGCTCACCTTATGTATTATATGCTTTCAAATCCCGCTACACATATTTCTTATCACATTCTCTCTCAATTCCATATCCTCCTTTATTTCTTCATATTTTCTTATCTTCTTTAACCTAACCACTCTCTAATGTTGTCCCCATGTTGACCCCTACCCAAATGAAAGGGGGAAAAAAAAAACATCATTCTTACTTCTGCTCAAATCCCGCTCAAATAATGTTATTCAGCTGCCCATCCCCTACAATCCGGCGCCGAACTGTCTCGTCTTCCGCGTGTGAAGATCTTGCCTCGATCTTACCTTTGGCTTCTTTACCTTCGCACACGAGAGCCCTTCCCTCACCCTTCGATCCTGCACATAAGCTTTTGTCTAGCTCTTCCCTTCCGCTTCTGTCTACAGCTGAATCGAGGCCGTCGCCACTCATAACCTGCTTCCTTCCTCAGTTGTGTTGCAAACCAACTCCTTCCTCCCGTTCGAATACTTTTCGATCCCGCTTCCAGTTGGACCACATTCAAACTCTACCCGGTCGGATTTCCTCCTATCCCGCCTCCAGCATTCATACTCGACCTCGCCTCTTCCAAGCAACCGGAGGAAGATCTCCTTTGCCTCTAGCCCATGATCAAATCCAACTGCATGCACACCTCCGACTTCGACAGATCCCAAACCTTGTCTAATCCAGCTTCTACAGTCCTCCTTCAAACCACGAACTCTAGCATCCAATCTTGTCTCTGCTCGCTCCAACTTCTTTGATCCGTGGATCTTTGCCCGACGCTAACACTCAGGACTGAACAACCCTCACGATCGGTCTGGATTGATCTCTCCTCAAGCCCGACCGAACTTACCCCCTATAAGGCATTCAACACTCCAGGCCGCACGTCAAAATCCTGCCCCTACTTTGCAACCTGCAACTGTCCCTTCAACCACCCGATCCGATCCCACACAAACATTGGCTTGATCCCTCTCCACCTCTTAGTGCCACAAACCTCCGATTGAGCCTAGTTCTGGCTCCTACCTCACGATCTACCCCGATCTCAACACCAACCACAATTCTTCCAATCCAACCCTCCACCCAAGCAATTATAACCCAATCCCTCCTCTACTATTATGCCGACTTTGACTGCCCGACTTTCTTCCCAGTTCAAAATTCTACCTAGCCATCTACCCAAATCCCTAGCATTCATGCCTTTCTTCCTATATCATTATTGTTATTAGTTATTACTATTAATTATTAATACTAATTACTAATGTTAATATTAATATTAATATTAATAATATTGTTATTATTATTCAAACAAAAAAGAGAAAGTTTTCAAAAAAAAAAAGGGAGAAAAAGAACAGGAAAAGGGAGAGGGGATTTTTGTGTTCGTTGCCATCGCTGTCGCCTCGACACCGCCGTTTCGCTCCTCGCAAAGGTATAATATCCTTAAAACTTAGAAAATCTTGAATCCCATTTTTGACACTCACGGCACGCCGGGGGACCACCCTACTCGCTCTCGTATTGTGGTGGGAGGGAACCCGGTGCAATGCTTGCGGCTAGGCGGGTGGGCCTTTACGCGTTCTCGTAGCGTTACAGGGATAATTCTAAGTGCCCGTGTATGTGCCGTCATGCCTGCGGGAAAAAATTGTGTATTTTCAGACATGTGCCTCAAAGATCCCTATACGGTCTCGTAGCGCGGTGAGATTAAAAATCACGGCAGTGGTGTAGCCTGACACCTACTCTACGCGCTCTCGTAGCGTGGTAGGGAAGGCCCAGTTCCTGAAATTTCTCCTAAACAGGGAGATGCCCGGAGGGTGCCGAAATTTTCAGTGACCAGAGGACCTGAACTTAAACAAAATGACAACAAGCCGAACTTGTAAATTGGACTTCAAGGAACATAACATGCAAATTGGATGACAGGGAACTGGACCCTAAACCTTAAAATGCATGGTTAAATTAAAAA